TGAAGTATCGCATCACTGTCGGCGTCTTCCCGGATATTCCCATAACACATGGAAGCATGGCTGGAAGCAACTTCAAACAAGACCTCTTTCTCTGATCAATGGTCTTTTGGTCCATGCAACTGGTTTTGTTTCTGGTTTGCAACTTCTACTTCTTGTTTGTTAAAACCATGCAAAACATCAACTTCTGTAGTAAATTCACTTTGGGTAGCCTGGTTCATTAGCTCCTAACCAGCTGAGTGAAACGCACCTAATTCGCATTTCCTTTATTTGTTTTTTTTTTGCGCAATTCAAAAGTTCACTTATAATTTGCTTGACAATTAGATGGAAACATGTCTATAGTGTAAAAGTGCTTTGAATAGTCGGAAGACTAGAAATGCGCTCTATAAGTACAGACCATTTACAATTACCATTTATCTACCACAACTGTATACTGGGAAAAAGGAAAATGGAATGGAATTCTAGTTGAATTAATAAGATTCATAAAGGAACAATAACCAAACAAGCATGCTCTCATCCAAGCAAGGCTATAAAGGTTAGAAGGACCTTATTGAAAAATCCTGGTCCTGGGTTCGAACCTTGGTCATCCCAGGTCCTCCCAGCGTTTGCATGGGTTCTCTCTGGGTGCTCTAGCTTCCTCCCGCCGTCCAAAGACATAGTTAGTTAATTGGGGATTCTATATTACCCTTAGGTGTAAATGGTTGTTTGTCTCTATGTGTCAGCCCTGTGATGAACTGGCGACCTGTCCTCAACCCCGCCTCTCGCCCATTGTCAGCGGGGATTGGCTCCAGCCCCCCCTGCGACCCTGCATGGATAAGTGGTTATAGATGATGGATGGATAGAACTGTCACAATTGTTACTCTCCTCTTTGAATTTTAGGCAGCTATTACATCTGTAGCTCACTGTGGCAGCAAGCAATGCTCAAAGAGTTATTCAGTTTTTCAGTTTTAAAGGGACATGTAACATATTCATTGAACTGTATGTTTCAGGGCCAGTGTTTCTGCCTCGCATGTCAGAGTAAGTGGACCATATTCAGAATTGTGATACTGCAAGTGCATGTGGGGGGTTAATGTGAAAATTGTGCAAGTTGGAATTTAGACATACATCTGGAATTATACTGTGCACCTGTCAGACAGCTACGTGCATGGAGTCTCTCCAAAACAGATGTGGCGGCTGATATTCACTTTTCTTCCTCGGAACACGTCCATTTGCTTAATGTACTATGAGCTGCGTCTGGTCTGGAGCAACTGTCTGTGACAGTTTCTACAACCATATTTTTCTTCATGACACTCCTGTCTGTGGGCAATGTAACACACACACGCTTAACGTTCTGTTTTAATAAAGGTATTCAGCAGCCTGTATAGCTGATGTGTAACTTGTCATGGTGTGGGACAAAATGACACTCCCTGCATTTGCAAGGAGTGGAAATATGGAGTGGAACAAGGCTGAGTGATTTATGTGGGGAAGTAAAAAACAAGAGTCGCTGATGCTGTAGTGCTGACCTGTGCTTTGAGATAAAAGTTAACAGCTCACATGCTCACAATAACATGCTGACAATAAACAGGTACAATGGTTACCATGTTCAACACCCTAGTTTAGCATGTTAGCATGTCAACATTTGTTTATTTAGCACTAAAAACAAAGCACAGCTGAGTGTCCAAGACAGAGGCAATTTCACTATACTCCTGTAATTTGGAAAAATGAAACCCAATTTTCTGACCATCCAGACATTAGCTGTAAGCTAGCTAGCAACAGAGGCAGTGGCTGTGGGGATTGATGTGTGCCTGTGTTGCTGCAGGCAGACTCTGATCTGATCTGATATATCTGATTTGTTAATCTCATCATAATTATGGGCAAATATCATATTCATAATGCATCAAAGTAGAATTCAACAAAACCCTTATTTACTTTGTTTATGATTGATTTTTGTAAATTATTTGAAATCCCTAAAATGTATCACAAATAATAACAAAATAACATCCAACATTATTAAGGCAATGTTTCAGTGTTTATTGTTTTAAACAAAAGTAAATGGCTGCTATAAATGACATTATGATGGTGATAACAATAATGATTTTTTTTCTGAGTTCACAATGGCAGCAAATTGGCAATATTGTGTTTATGTGTTACCCCCTGTATAACTGTCCTAGTGTTTTTTTTTGAGGTGTTGTTGTGCTCACATGCTGCTGCTGTTATGTTGTCCGGGTATGTCCACAACTTGAAAGGTATATATGTTGTACTTTTAATTTAAAAATAAAGAGGCAGATAAGAATGACATTAGTAGAAATTTGGGCATAAAACAAAGTATTGGACAAGGTGACACTTTGACCTAGTGATGGCTCTCAATTGTTGAGATACTTCAGTCTGAACTAGTTGTGGTGGACTGACTGACCAACCAATAGACTAACATGCTATGGCTGCAAAAAGGACACGAGCTGGGTCAAGGTGACACAATCTTCATTAAATATTCTTGATTGCTTCAGTTTGTCTCGAGTTTAAAACAGATTTTGAACAACATTATGTGTGTCCATGTCAAAGTGGTGATAATGCTGTCTGAGCAAACAATGGACTAACAGTCCTGCCAATTTGTCTCCTTTTGAGCAGGTTAACAAACAACCTGCTGGATTTTATTTTATTTTAATTACACACTTAGTGTGCTTGCTGGGTGATGAATTAAATTAGGTAGGTAGGCACATTTATTGTCACAATATAACAGATTATATAATGAAACTGAGCTTTGTAACACCCTTCTGCTACGTAGCAGACAATATACATTAATACAGAAGCAGTTATAAAAATGGTAAACAAATAAACAGTATTCAATGATCAATGGAGCAGTGCTGAGGATGAATTTGAGTTTAAGGGTCTGATAGCTTGGGGGGAAAAGCTGCTCTGCAGTCTGGTGGTGCGGCAGCAGAAACTTCTATATGTCTTCCCAGAAGGCAGCAGGGTGAACAGGCTGTGGCTGGGTGGGTACTGTCCTTTAGTATCCTTTGGGCTCTGCAGACACCTCACCGATATCACTGATGTTCAGGAGATGGGTACCAATGATCTTCTGAGCAGTTTGAATCCCCCCCTGCAGAGCCCTCCGGTCCTGGGCCGTGCACATCCCATGCCAGTTAGTGATGTTTCCAGTCAGGATGCTTTCTGTTGCTCCTCTGTAAAAGCTGACAAGAACTTGGCGTGGGAATTTAGTCTTCTCAAGCTTCCTCCAGAAATACAGTCGAGTCTGAGCTTTCTTCACCAGCGTGGAGAAGTGAGTCGACCACGTCAGGTTTTCTGTGATGCTGATTCCCAGGAACCTGAAACTGTTCACCTGCTCCACCTCAGCTCCACTGATGGAGACAGGAGTGTGTCTTCATCTCTTTTTTCCTGAAATCAACGATCAGCTCCTTAGTTTTGCTGACGTTGAGCAGTAGCTTGTTCTCTGAGCACCAGTCAAGTTGAGGGTTTCTGTCGTGGGCGTACAGCGTGAACAGGAGGGGGCTGAGCACACGGCCCTGGGGGGCTCCGGTGTTGAGCACTAGAGTGGAGGAGGTGAGTCCACCAATCCGAACTGTCTGGGGTCTGTTTGTGAGGAGGTCCAGTATCCAGCTGCAGAGTGTTGTGTTTAAACCCAGAGTGCTGAGTTTGCTGATCAGCTTCATGGGGAGATTGTGTTGAACGCTGAGCTGAAATCCACAAACAGCATTCTGACGTAGGTGTTGTTTTTCTCAAGGTGTGTGAGGGCTGAGTGGAGGGCAGTGGAGATGGCATCCTCTGTGGATCTGTTGGTTCTGAAAGCAAAGTGCTGAGGGTCCAGGCTGGCTGGGATGTTGTTTAAGTTTAAAGGGTGATTTTTGCTCCTGAGTGAAAGTTGAAGAAACCTGATGGTTAAATGTGGTTTAAACTCTTCTTTATGGTCAACACACAAATCTGAGGTAGAACATTCAAAACAATAATGATAAAATCTTTGTCAACAAATATGCATGAGTAAAAAAAGTAAAAGCTTTTTTCAGTCCTTTTCCCCCTGCAAAATAAACATCTTAATAAAAAAAATAAGTCCTTATTTTGTGTGATTCAAGTGAATAAAATCTAAATGTATTGAATATTTATTGAACATTTGTTATATTGTTATTGAAAAAAAATATGTTTTGATAATTATTGACATTGTTTTATTGTCCAGAAGTCAATAGAAGTTACCTTGGGGACTGTGATACATGAGTGCCTGATGGGACATAAGGAATAGGTGTTTTAAACAGAACAATATTAGATCAGACAGATATTGAGCACATAGTAGATCTTTTTGTAGTATTTTATAAATGGTGTTACCCACACAGTGTAGGTACAAACAAACATTAACTAAAAATATGTGTTATGTTAGATTTTTAGACAAAAATAACTTGACTTATTCATTTATTTATTTACTTAAAAGTGATGCGCACATTAATGAACAGCTTGCATCAAAGTAAATATGCCAGATTTAGCCAGAAGGCTATTTTTCATCTGTAGTCCCTGGCAGGTCGTTACAAGGTCAATACAAAAAGGACAAGACAATAAAACAATAAAGGAAATAGTACAATACACCACAATATACGAGACAGTCATTATGCTTCACTATACAGATCATGAGCTGGTTACTAAAGTAAATCAGTGCAAAATGTTTGGTTATGCAGTTTAAAGTGCTATTTATGCAGTAAAGTACCATTCTATGCAATTAAGTGCAAATTAATATATTAAAGTGCTATTCAGTCTGCATCTAGTGTGGGACCACACAGCAAGATGACACTACAACCGTATGATCCCACAACAAGGTGCCTCACTAAAGTGCAGAATCATGGAGGGTCAATGTACTTGGACTTAATGAGCACCTTTAATTATCTAGAGTAATATCCATTTGGAGTAAAACAGTGCAGTGGTGAACATGAGATAGCAGTAATCTCTCAAGATAAGTGTGCCCTCAGAGCTAATAGGCTAACAATCAATAAATGTTTTCTGCTCTGGGCTTCCACAGATGTAGGACTCACTACCACCTGCTAAGAGATGATTCAACCAACAAACTTGTGTGAGATTTGTGGAACTAAACCCAGCCTGCTTACAGTATTGTAGAGTTTACTCATTTAAAGTGGAAGTAAGTATCAGCTTACAGAAGCCTGAAGAATGAATGTGTGGGTGTTGCCGGGGTGGGTCAGTCAGTGAGCTGTGTGGGTGGGAGCTTTGGTTTGGGTCGGCGGACACCCCTGGGCCCCAAGAACCTCTCAGCTAACGTTCTTGGGGTTAGTGTAGCGGCCCCCCACCCCACCGCCCATCCTGACGTCACGTCTGGAGGCTGGCTGCTCGCGCCGCTAACACTGTTCACCTCCAACAGAGAAACTTTCCTGGAGTTCTCAGGCTCTTCTGACTGCGGACCAAGTCAACCCCTGCTCAGAGGAAGCCGCAGCGGTTCGGGAGACAGACCGTGGCGCTAAATTAGGCTATTCACTTCTACAGCCGAGGAACGTTACATGCCCTATTTTATTTAAAACTTCTGAAAGTGAAGCCAACGTTTTTCCCTGGGTAATGTTAGCGTATTAAGTAGGCTACATCCATATACCGAGTCGGGTAGGAGGTCTGGCTGCCTACAGGAATATGCTCAGGAATACAAAAGTTTTTTCTCACTAGTAAAAAGTAAAATACGTTTTTTCACGGAGCTGAAAGTAACGTAACTGGACCTCTTTTCCCCCTAAACTCCCCCCCCCCCTTCTTCGGATTCGGTATGGATATGGCTTGGATTATATGGGGCCTCTTATCTTCTTTCGGGTTGATTCTCTCCCCGGTGTGTGTGTCAGCGGAGCAGCAGCAGAGCCAGAGCGGCTTCAGGAGGCTGTACGTTCTCCAGCCCGGCCCGGGCCCGGGGGCGACCGGAGCGGGTGGAGGGGTGCGAGTCAGCTCCATCTCGACGCGTCACGGCGCGGCGGGGCAGCCGCACACGTACAACGTGGAACTCACCTCCAGCCTCGGTGGCCAGGTCCGGACCCGCAGGATGGGGAGCCATGCAGCTTCAACCCCGCAGCTGAGCCAGGAGCAGAGCGGACAGGAGCAGAGCCAGCAGAGGCAGCTCATGAAACTGTCTGGGTAAGAATGTGGAGGAGGGAGGAATGCCAGTGGGAAATGAGAATTAACTTAATGACTTCCTGTCAGCTTTTATCATAAACCCAACAAGCACTAGAAATTAAACGTTAATCAGCAGGCTGTCAGGGTAGCTACACTACAGTTGGGCACCGGTATGACAGCCCCATCTTCTCAGACCTATTTTATTCTGCAAATTCAAAGTGGTTTAACCCATTCTGATGTTTCTACTTTGTACTCAAGCAAACAAAATGTCCCGTTGTTATCATTCGGTCTGGATTAAATTAATGTGGATGATATTGTCTAATTGCATTAGATGAATATGATGCAGTTATTCCTAAGTCAAAGACAGAGGAATCTCAGACTCTGTGAATCCCTACTCTCCCCTGCATCCCTGGTTTGTCTCAGACTAAGCAGGCTATTTTCAGCAGTATATTGGCTGACCCAAGAATTTCTGGGGCTCTGTGATCTAATCTGTAAATCACTGCCATACGGTTTGTTGTTCTGTAGTGTAGGAATTGGCATACTGGAAAGACACACAAGGTGGCATAAGAAACACTTGGTGAACAGCTGTGAAGGCCCTGCATGCTGTGGACCCACAGGTGTCTCCATTTATTTAGCGGAATTAGACCTCTGCTGAGAACTGTGTGTATACAGGCTCTGCTTGATTGACACCTCCCTGACCTTCCTATTACTTTTCTGTTAGGGTGGAGGAGTCACACCTTTCGTATTAGGGGTCCAAGCCTTTAGGAGCTGGGGGCCACGCATGCACAAATCCCCTGGGTTCCCTAATGAAGTCACTCGGATTTTTTAAGTCATACTGCAGCCTACACCATAAAGGTTATGAAAGGGAAATTCACAGGTGTGGTATAGACTACTGCACACACCTGCAAAAAATGACACGTCCACACATGTTTTGACCCATAACTCCCACATAGTACGTCACACATTCAAAAGCCTTAAATGCACCACGCCTTTCCTGAATTGAGCTGCGACTTGTACTATATATATATGAATATATATACACACACATATATATATATATATGTGTGTGTGTATATATATATATGTTTTTCGCACATAATTTCCTTTTCTAATCTACTTTTTTGAAACTTTGCATGTAAAATAATGTAAAATTGTTCACATGATCAAAAGGTATTAAAATAATTCTTATAATCCTAAACAAAAATTAGTTATAAAGGAATAATATCCTATAGGTTGCAACAAAACAGGAAGTGATGTTATATCTCCACACAGGTCTGTCCAATTAACACACAGTACTTTCCCATGACTCAATAAAGCATGATTCATTCTTCTGCATCAGGTCTACGCTAGCCTACAGGGTAAGCTACGCACATAGCCATGAAGCGGGAAGCTTCCGGTCTGATACAATGCGGAAGTCCCATAAACCTGCATTGTATTGAATGGCCAGCAGGGGGCAACTCTTCTGGTTGCAAAAAGAAGTCTGGTTCCATGTTCCATGTTAATAACTTGCATACAAGACAAAAATAAAAAGAGTAAATTCATTCAATAAAAATGTATAATCTACAGTCAGTGCCTACATTTTCTTGTGGATGCTGTGGTATTTGACACTTCTCAGTTTTGTCTTTGGTCATCTCTTGCATACCCTGGAAGTACACCTGGAAGCTAGAAACTTTTTTGGCATATGCACCAGGCGAGCAATTGTCATTTGACTGAATAAGTACCATCTTTGGGGATGACATCCATTTTAAAAAACAACAACATTTACTTATGAAAATTTTTCACATTATGAGGACAGTAATCATAAGCTTAAATATTGCACATTGTACATACAATAATTATGAAAGATCTGTCTCATCGGCTACATAAACACACCAAGATAGAGGGATGTGAATGTTGTACTAATCCTAAAACCCAGGGATTTTAAGATGAGTGCTACTTCCTTCCAGAAAGTCTGAATAGAGAGAAGACCAGAAAACATGGGCATGATTAACCATGATTTCTCCGAATTCTCTCCAGCAGCATAGCTGAGTACCAGTTTGTTTAGACTTCTGTTTGGGATTGACAAAAAGGCAAATCAAATTTTTCCAACAGTCTCTCCAGGCCCGGGAGTTGGTGGAGGACGACTGTGATTTCCAGGCATTCAGCCACATGTCTTCAGTTATTTCAGTGCCCAGCTCTTTTTCCCATCATTGTTTGACTTAGTGTGTAGTGTCCTTATTCAGTGATGTGATGACATGTATAACTTATAAAGCTTATAAGACATTTATTGCTTCCTGAGTTATAAGCATCAATATATATATATGAATAAAACAATTGGTGGCTGTCTTGAATTAGAACCTTTTACCTTTTTTCAAAAATAATCACAAAGCTGTAAATACCTGTAAAAGTCTTGCCAACCTAAACCATATGTCTGACAGAGATTATTAAAACTGTCATGAATCCCTCCTGATCTACCTATGTTGACATAGTGCTCATGTCAGTTTTTTACCTGGCGTTCTCCTGCCTCTTCTACCCACCTGTTGCTCATTCCCTCATAGTCTCCCCAGTATATTTACCTGTTCAGCTCCACTAGCTCCTTGCCAGATTGCCTTTGCACTTGCTAAGCTTTCCAGCGATTATCTTACTCTTGTTTAGACTGGGATTCTGATTCCCTGCCTGATTCCACTGGACTTTGATTCTCTGCCTTATCCCTGCCGGTTATGTTAGCGTGTTTGGATGGATTGCCTGGTTTTTGTTTGCAATAATAAAGGGTTAATTTGATTAGGAACTGGTAAACATTTTTAACAGGCCATCAATAATTGTATTATTTTTGTTTGTGCTTTTGAGATTGTGACATGTCAAAATGTAAAAGGACTATCAGTAGTAATCTAATAACTATACCATACTGCATGCTGGGATAAGTTTTGTATGGAGACTGGATGGATAAATAGATTAATATAGATTTCCAAAACCATGTCAAGTATACTTCAGACTTGTGTGATACACAAAGAAATTCATTTAAGGGGATGTTTGCTTTGAGGAGATTCAAGCTGCCAAACTCAGCCATGTTGCTCTTGAGGTCCACCTTGATGCCTAAATTTAGATTTTGTGGCTCAGGACAACTGGCAAAGATGGTGGTGTGCAATAAACTGCTTGTCTGTGATTTAGGGTGGGCAATAAAATTTTTGCAATATAAGTTTCCTCAATATAAATATATCAAATGTTCAATAAATGTTCGATTTTATTCATTTGAATCACAAACGAATCAGCAATTATTTTTTTTAATTAATTATTATTATTATTATTTATTTATTATTTTGTTGAGGAAAAAGATTGTACTGTGCATATTTGTTAAAAAAGGATTTTATCATTATAACTGTTTGAATGTTCTACCTCAGATTTGTTAAGTGATCCCCTGTTTGGCATCAAGTGTTTGTTCTGACCATAGAGAATAGTTGAAAACCACAATTAACCATCTGATTTCTTAAACTTTCACTCAGGAGCACTTAGCGTTCAAAATCAGCCTTTAAACTTGAAGGAAATAATGATTTGACATTTAACGTGATAATTATTCATATCGATTGATATTACATTTATTATCTTGATAAGATTTTTGGCAATATGTCCAAGTCCTACTGAGCTTATAAATAATTCATTATAATAAAACTCCCTCCAGATATACATATACCTTGAAATAATCATGAAATTATGATGCTAATTTGAGTCTTGATTACTAACTGCTGGAAGTAAGAGGAAATGTCACACATATTGTTATATGATAAAACTGTGGGCTTCTTTGTTGACTGACCCTAATTAGTCTGTGCTGTGACTGATGGCCTTTTAATTGGTTAGGCTGCTCTGGCTAATTAAGAATAAAAGCATTTTATGGATTCTTGAACATTGTGTCTAACACCTCTAACAGAAAGTAAACTATTTTTCCTTAATGTTTAGGGCTTTGAGACCTGCAACCCTCCAAATAGACTAGCTAGTATATTTGATTTTAGCTTCATTGTCTAACGTGACATGATGACAGCGATAGTATACTTACTATTTGTCTGTATGATGTTAAGAAATACAACGGTTCAGTCAGTGTTTCCCACACATAGACTAGATAAAATATTCTGTGGACAGATGAACCCAAACTTGAGTTGTTTGGGAGGAACACACAACTCTGTGTGGAGGAAAAAAGGCACACCAATATCAAAACCTCATCCCAACTGTGAAGTATGGTGGAGGGGTGATCATGGTTTGGGGCTGCTTCACTGACTCAGGGCCTGGAAGTGTTGCTGTCATCGGCGGAAAAATAAATTCCAAAGTTTATCAAGAAATTTAGCAGGAGAATGTATGGCCATCTGTCTGCCAATTGAAGCTCGACAGAAGATGGGTGATGCAACAGGACAACGACCCAAAGCACAGAAGTAAATCAGCAACAGAATGGCATCAGCAGAAGAAAATATGCCTTCTGGAGTGGCCCAGTCAGAGTCCTGACCTCAACCCGATTGAGATGCTGTGGCTTCACCTCAAGAGAGTGATTCACACCAGACATCCCAAGATTATTGCTGAACTGTAACAGTTTTGTAAAGAGGAATGGTCCAAAATTCCTCCTGACCAGGAAACGTTTGGTTGAGCTTATTGCTGCCAAAGGAGGGTCAACCAGTGTGGTCAAAAGAAACATAAAGACATATAATTGTTTGTGTGGAATTGGTTTCAGCAGACTGTGTTTGTCTGTTGTTGTGACTTAGATGAAGACCAGATCACATCTTTTTCCTGCGACTGTATATAATAATTTGCTGTAAATGGCCAATGAGCTGCCTTACCTTAAAGACCCTTCAGCTTTTAGTGGTGCGCTTCTATAAAGTCAGGGCACTTGCAAGTAGTTTTGTCACGATACAAAATTTATGACTTCAATATGCCTAAATATAATGCAGATACTGAAACAACACCACGGCAAAAATCTAGTAATGGAAGTAAAGTGATAATAAAGGACAACATGGAACTGTAATTTTTTTATTAGGCTAACTTTTGAGAGAGCCTGTTCTCATTGTCATTTTTAAATCTAATTTGATTAAACAGAAAACTAGAAAATGTGCTCAGTAGAGCCCAGACACTCGCTAACACTCGCGGAGCACCAAGCTTCCAGTCTGGGCAGAATAAGCAATTGGACAGCTAGCTGCACGACTAACTAATAATAGCAGTAGTTAGCTGCTCCAATAACCAGTAACATATAAACTCCGTAAATCGGCAAAAGTGGAGGCAGAGCAGCTGGAGAATATCAGAGGGAAAACCGGACAATATTTCTCCATCAAATCTGATCCAGTTTCAGTAAAACCAGTAAATAAAGTTGTGTTTTTGTACAGTTATCAGTGAGGGCTAGTCTCTCAGGTCTTGATTCAATGTGGTGCTGTTAAGCCCTTCCCCTCTTCTGTGCTTGGGAAGTTGGTGAATCAGAAGCAAGTGGGCTTAAAAAGAAAGGAGCTAAAACTGAGTGTTCAGAAAGAGGGTGAAAAGAGGTGCTGAAGCAGTGGACAGTGTGAGAAATATAGTGTGTTTTTTGAACATTTAAGCATGTGAATAATTTCTAGTAGAAACCCTAAAAACAAGTATGAACATGGAAATGAACATTCCACAGTACCTCTAAAGTTAATGTCATTTATGTTTATTATTTTAATCCCTAATAAAAATAGTTTATGTGCTTATGACATGTTTTCATGTTTGTTTTTTAATACATGTAGGTGTGTTTTTGACTGTGAATTAGAACATTATATAATACATAACTGTAAATAAGTAGATCCAGGTCATTGTTAAAGCTTTTATGTAGTATGCTTTTTGCATCCAAATATCACTTGCATGGTCATGGCTCAATACACCTCCTTGGCGCAGCGCATCTATAGAAACGGACGCAAATGTACAAGCATAATCACTATTACCTGTGCAGATTTGAGTATAAATGTATCATTTACAGTGGATGTTGCCTGCATAGGCCTACTTCTGAACACCTGATTTGAAGCAGCTTGCAAGTTATGGTAAAGTTAACGTAACCAGTGTGAACGTTGCGGTAAAGAGATGTTTGCCACATTGGTAAGTTAAAGCCAAACTAAACCGTAAAAATTGCCCTTAACTACCTTGTCAGACTTCGATGCAAAAAAAGTTTGCTTGTCACACAATAATACACACTCGTTTGAGGGTAATGTAATTATGTTATCTATCACATTTGCTAACCTGCCGCTCTCGTTGGCATATCTGTCGGTGAAATGCTTTGCTAAGTTGGTTGTGTTGCCTCTCTTGGTCTGCGTGAGTTTGAAAGATCTTTTACAGGTGCGCTTTGTAGAGTCCATACACTTGACAGATTAAAATAAGAATGGTCTAGATAGACAGATTTATTGAAAATGAGGCAGCCAGGAAAGGAAGGGAGAATTAGAAAAATTAAGATTACCTAGAGAAACAGACGGAAGGAGAAGAAAAATGGGGAAGAAGACGACATGAAATGAAAAACAAGGGTGGAAGGAAGCATGAACAGTACTGTACAGGAGTGCTCGAAAGAAAGTCAGTGAGATACACTTAAGACTTGTGTGTTCCAACCTTATATAACCAGTCCACTACGGCCTACTTTAATGGGCCTCTACAAAGTTTTCAACAACCATCTGTCTATTTAGTTCTGGCCCATTTGACTGGTTTGTTAGCAGGTGGGACCAATTGCATTTCAGTCATGTAAAGAGTTTATGTCAGAATAAGGGACACCAGTCTGTGTGTGGTCCAGCAGCATGGCTTCAGCTGCTCGGTTTGTGGCCCATCAGAATGCTATGATGTGTGATTAGTGAATACAGTTCAGCTGTGAATTGCAGGCACCCCCATGAAAGTAAATTAATCTTATTAGAATCATTACCAGGTTACACCGGGCTGGACATTAAGCTTGGGCAGTATTACGGTGTATCATGGTGTTGAGAAATCCAGACGGTATAAAACCATCACAAATACAGACGCTCCTCTTTCTGTTAAACTGCTAACGAGACGCTGTATTGAGCTTATTTATTTTAGTGTACTTCCTCAACGTAGGCAGGCGCCGCCGCACAAAACTGCCTCTACAAGGGGACTCACTTTTACAAGGAACAAGGTAGATTTATTTGTCACATTACAACAGGTTGTAAAGTGAAACTGAGTTTGTAACTCCCTTCTGCTATGTAGCAGACAAGCTCCAGCAGTTGGTAAACAACATACACAAGGGAGCTGTAGCTGCAGCCTTTATTTACTGACACACTGTAACCTACACTGTACATTTATTGCTAAACTTCACTACTCACCTTTTCCTCTGCATTCACCTGCCGCTCGCTCTCTCGCTCAGCAGCACACTAATGCTCACTAATAGGAGCTACTCCATGGCGACTGCGAGTAGTGGGACAATGTAACAGGACTAGTCAACAAGAGAAATGCCTCTGCCACTGTTTCGGGGTATTTTGGATTTAGTCTCGATGATAAAGGTGAGCCAGCCAACCGGACAAAGCTATGTGACATCATCTCTGTTCAGCCCACGTGTGTTGATATCCACATCAACAAGTGTCATCGGGTCCTCCTGCAAGAATCTTTGGAAGAAGACAGACTGTCTGTTTATTATTCAATGGGCCATAAGGATTTAAACCAAGAAAGATTTGTCAAAGTAGGCTAACTACATAATAGACACACAGCACTGTAGGCATACATGCTACAGGGACTTCCATCAGCAGCAGCTCAGCTTTTATTTTATTTTTTTTACACAAATACCTTCTCATACCGTATATATACTGGTGACATGTCAGGAAGGAATGAAAAAATAGATACTGCCCAAGCCAACTGGATCAGGATCAGTTGGTGTGTGTGTGTGTGTGTGTGTTTGTGTCCGTGTCCGTATAACTTGTTTTGTCATTTTGGTACAGAATGGGGCCCGTAACAAAGGTTTGTTTTTTGTTGGTGCAGTTTAATTTTAGAAAGTGTTACGATATGCCATTTGCAGTGTAACACTAGCACTGCAGCTCTGAGTTTTATGGCCCCCCTTGATGCATGTTGTGTACAAACCACTGTTTTCATCCAATTTCAACTTTGTCTACGTCATAGGTGACTGTGTGGGGACTTAGATTTAAAATAAAACATGGGAGCTGGAGGCTGGAGCTGGAGCTGGGAGATGTCCACTTAAAGTTTTTTGAATAATTACAGGCAAGAAATTGGCAACTCATAAATGCAGTGCTGTTTCACAGCTGCCTCTCAAATGTTGGAGCTTCTCACCAGCACATGAACAACCCTCCCCCATCCACCAGGGTCAACTACTGAAAATAAACCCCCAAACTGTGGGAAACACTGTGGTGTTCACCAGTGCTTGCAGTGGAAAAAAATAAATGCCAGTACTCTCTTTATTTACATGTTGTTGTGAACACACACACCTGCTCACACACAATATTTATATTACAATAATAACTTTAGTAAAACAGATCTAAAACGAACAAGGGGAACATGTTGCTCTCAGGAAGAGGCGGCTAGAAGCAGCACATGTCGGTATCCTGGAATCCTGGCTAAATCTACATTTGTCCTCTGCTGATGCACTATCCACAACTTGGAGGAGTAACTAGTAAAAATGAGTGTATTAGTTCCATACAGCAGTTTAAGAATTACAGAACCAACAATTATCATTGTTTCATTAAATCATTGTGCAAGAAAAATTCTCTTCCTGGCGGTTAGGTTTATAATTTCTTATAGCTAAGTACTAAATAATCAGTAATTTCAGCCATTAATGCAAAACGACTTTTCTAAAGTTTGCTGTAGCACTTCAAACTTTTGTCCCGCCCCATCCAGGCCATGACTGGTGGACAAGTGCGGCTTTACGAAGAGCTGAACATGTTTCAACCAAAGGCACCTCATAATGTTGCCCTTTGCTCCTTGTATTCCCAGTGAGATCCCTATTTTCTTTCTCATCTCTCTACTTTTAGTGTGTCACACAAATGGGCAGCACCTAATAGGGACAGGGGTATTAGTCTCTGCTGTAACAGAATTAAGCTTCATTTTGTATCTTAAACTCCACAAAAGATTAAAGAGAGAGTGACTCATTATCAAAGCCAATCTCTATGATGACTGTGATTGGTGAGTTCCCAGGTTGGCCCAGCTTCCAACAGCGTGACTCAAATCAAGTCAAGTCTGACTGACTGACTTCAAGTCTGGAAAACATCCGCTGAGAATTGGTGGAGCCCGGCAGATTTGTGCCAAAGATCCGATTATTATGTGGGAACATTTAGATGATGATGATGTGCCTTGTCTCAAACCCCCTGAATCTCGCTGACAACATTTTTTACTAGGTGTTACAGATCTCAAATGAAACTTGACATGATCTGTTTCTTACCTTACAGTCTCCAGTTTAAAAATAGTACTAAAGACCAATGACAGCCCAGGTAGCGGAGCATTCGTCTACTCGGGTGCAGAAAGATTTGAATAAAAGAGAAAACTGGCACTCATCTAATGTAGTCTCTTTGAAATAACATCTCTTGAGAGGTAAAATACTGTTTAGGTTTGCCACAGCCAAGAGAAAGTTCTGGGCTGGCATTGTGTTGGGATCTTCAAATACAGCTCAACTCTTAATTTTGAGGCGCTTAATGCCAGAAGTTGGAAAGAGGGTGGGAGAGAATGCCTTCCACCAATCAGCTTGTGTTCCTTTCACATGTGGGTTTGAGTGTGTGTGTTTGTTGTTTCATCTGCCTCTGCTTGGTTTCTGTTTGCAGGGTGAATGTCTGTGGAGGGCACTGCTGTCATGGATGGAGCAAAGCTCAGGGATCGCAGCGGTGCACAAAGCGTAAGTGTTCAGTAAACTCCTTTCAACACAACAGCATCTCCACATTGATACAGCTACTCCAGTCTACACATAATAACACTGGATGACACACAAACACTGGCCAAAGTGCTCCAGGCACCCACACCACGTTCTTTCCAGTGCCTGACTATAGCTTTGAAACTTGTTGTAGTTTCTCGTGTTTTCTTTGACACTACACACTCCTCTCTTTCTCTAAAGATATCTCTTTCTTATAGAAATGTTTTGAAAATGATTGTGTCAGGAATATATAGAGTATACTAGACGGAAATGGGAATGAAGAATTTAAGAAGTTCTTGTTAATCTTTTAAGCAGTCAGACAGTATAATCATCACTTCCTCATAAATGTTCATTTATTCTGTTGTTAGAGGCTGTAAAGGAGTATTAACTTTACCCTGCTGAATGCACCATCACCTTGGAATTTGGGAAGTTTCCCTCATGATCATCTTTCTAGAACTTGCCATGTGTTGTGTATGTTTTGACTGATTTGCAGAAATCATCTTCCTTTTTTCAGTTACATAAGGCTGGCATCTAGGGAGAACGTCTACAGGCCTTTATATTGTTTCATTGAACCTTTGTCCTTAAGGGCATGAAAGTACAGTTTACTTTCTCACACTGCCCAAACAGGTATATAAATGCTGCACTGCACATTTTCATAATGAAATGATGAAATCATAAATATTTAGCACATCCCTGCACTAACTGTGAACGTTAAACAGTATCCATGTTGCACCTTTATTGGTCTTTCATGTTTCATATTGTATTGTCAGTTTTATCAGTATTTACTCTATCTTTATCTTTCTTATATTTTTAAATTGTGTAGTTTATGGGTCTTCTGTGGCACATGTATCATGTCCAGACGTACAAAAAAAGCCTCTTGAAACCACTCCCTAAACCCAACAGGAAGTCGGCCGTTTTGGATTTAATTGTCATTTTTGCCGATTTACAGGCTCCTTAGTTTAAAAAAATCCGACTAGAGAATAAATCAGAATGACTTCTAAATTTCACTGTGTACACTAAACCCATAGATGATTAAACAAATGGATGGACAAGCCAATATTTGCTGAAAGTCACAGGAACAGGAAGTGGCTACCTTTATGCTGTGATGAACTTCTTCCAACCGGTTGGCCACATCCACAAAACTATCTCACACTTTGATGATGTTATGTTCTGAAGCAGGAAGTTGTCCTAACTTTACTGTACATGCTCAGATTGGTACCAAACATGCTTGATAACGGTCGCCCCCTTAACACATCTAGATGCCAAAAGTCAGTTATAATCATAGTGCTGTGTGACAATCATCAAGTGATTTACAAGAATGTTTCACAATGTGTTCAAGTGCTCTCTAGTGCCAGGAAGTGACGTTTTAGTCCTGTCGTCCCATGACAACATTACCCAGTTACCCAAAAATTGAAGACTTTCATCCACAAAGATTAGAACATTTGCATTCCCACATGCAATGTAGAAATCTGCCACCAGCTTGTGTTTGATTTTATTACTGTATTATTGTATAAGTAAGCACATCATGAGCAATGTACAATCCAGAGTCATATTCCTCGTATGTGTACACATACCTGGCAATAAAGCAGATTCTGATGTTCCACAGGTAGTTCGAAGTAGTCAAAAATTGGAGGTTCAATTCCCGGCTCCTACAGGCTGCATGTCGAGGTGTTCTTGGGCAAGATACTGAACCCCGAATTCATACACATTCAGTGTATGAATGCTAGTTTCTGTTTGAGCACTTAGGCTCAGTGTGTGAATGTGATGGTGTAGTGTAAAAGCACTTTGAGTGGTCGAAAAGACTAAAAAGGTGCTATACAAATACAGAGCATTTACATTTACAGTGGAGATGGTCGTGGACTTCAGAAAGCCCCAAGTCATCCTGTGTGACTCCTCAGTCCCCACTGTGGACTCCTTCCGCTTCCTGGGCACCATCATCTCCCAGGACCTCGAGTGGGAGCTGAACATCACCTCCCTCACCAAGAAGGCCCAGCAGAGTATGAACTTCCTGCGGCAGCTGAAGAAGTTCAGCCTGCCAAAGACAATGATGGTGCACTTCTACACCGCCATCATTGAGTCCATCCTCACCTCCTCCATCACTATCTGGTACGCTGCTGCCACTGCCAGGGACAAGGGCAGGCTGCAGCGCATCATTCACTCTGCAGAGAAGGTGATCGGCTGCAATCTTCCTTCTCTTCAGGACCTGCACGCCTCCAGGACTCTGAGGCGAGCAGAGAAGATGGCAGCTGACTCCTCCCACCCTGGACACAAAGTGTTTCAGACTCTCCCCTCTGGCAGGAGGCTGCGGTCCATCAGGACCAAAAACAGCTTCTTCCCGTCTGCAGCTAGCCTCATCAACAAGGCCGGGCCCCCCGACTGACACTCCCCCCAAATAATACAAATGTCTCTGCACATGTAAATATTATTTCATTGCATATCATGCACAAACCTGACACAGGGCACATATTTGTTGTTAATTGTTAATCGTTGTTTTTATATTTTGTCAATTTATATATTTATTCTCTTCTGTTAGCCCGGTGACGTTGTTCCTTCTCTGCAAATTTTTTTTCTTTTCTTTATTTATTATGGGGAGCTTCACTGAGAGGAAGCCTCTCTTTTGCAGGAAGGCCCTGATCACATTCACACTGCTACACATTCACACCTGGAAGCTGCCCAGTACAACGGCAGCCTGGTCTGCTGGCCACTAAGCAGCTCCACTGGAGCTTTTGGGGTTAGGGGTCTTGCTCAAGGGCACCTCAGTGGTGGTAAATGAGGGAGGGAAAGCACTGCTTGGTTTACTTTCCACACCCAGATTTTATCCTTCCGGTCAGGGGTTTGAACCGGCGACCCCCCAGTCCAAGCTCGCTTCTCTAATCTTTGGGCCACCACTGTATTATTTTTCTCTATTCTTTTATTATTCTTATATAACTTGCATTGTCGATTCCATATTTATATATTTCTACATTTGTATGTTTGTCTACGTATACCTTATCACCAAAACAAATTCCTCGTGTGTGTAAAACACTACTTGGCAATAAAGCTCCTTCTAATTCTGAAAGAAACACTCTTAGAAAACACTCGACTTAACTCGAAGGTCACCCGAAGAAACCAGTGCCAAATTACTGTAGGTTTGCATAGTGGTGCACTGGCATTAGATACAGTTTTAATAGCAGCCTGGATAAAAAATAGCTACAAATAACTCCAAGGACTTTTTGCTCAGGGTGAAGTGGCTCCTTGGTGTGTATAATTAAAACATACAAAATTACCCATGCACATGCATAATTGTTAACTCTGCTTTATTCTGCCAACATTTCTGTGCCCAGCCAGTTTCAGTATTGATACATTCTGCAAAAGTGTGTGCATATGCACAAGTTAATATCAAATCTGTGCAATCATGCATGTCATGACTGAGCCCCAGTGTCTGGACAGTTTTTTTCTTTTTTTAATTGCAACCTGCTGAGTCATGAGAAGTTATTATACTGTCTGACTGGCAAGAGCACGTGTCTCAAGAGTGAAAACAAAACAGATTTGAAATGGATTATAACTCTTGTCCCAGACAGATTGGTCAGATAACTTTCTTATTTGCAGGCTCTTGCCAATTTACTATTTAAGTTTTCTAGGTTTCTAGAAAGATTGCTCAAGTTCTCAGGAGAGCAACAGGAGTTCCCCATATCCAACGAAGGTTAAAGTCAAGTTCACTTAAACCTTCGTTGGATAACTATGACCTGGATGACTGAGAATCTTCATAGACAGTAGTTCCCCATGTTTCTGTGTGTAATGGATCTCACAGTGTCTGGATCTGTCACTCTCTCACAAATTTAATTATACTGTACTTATATAGCACTTATATTGCTAGCATAATTTATACTTACTTTATGCTAGCTAACTTTCTGTCATTTAACAAGCTAGTTAGCTTGATCGCTTGCAGGACAATACATCATACATATATTAAGATATGTATTTGTACCATCGACTGCTGTCTCACAACTGTCCGCCAACCATCCTTCTTTTGTGGAGCTCTTGACACTTGAGCAGAACAGGGTTATACAAAAGTGAATTGTGCAACACAGCTAATAGGTTATAATAGCTTCCTTTCTTTTGGACCCTCCAGCTCTCTGTTCCCTCAGCAGTCAGCAGTGTCAAGATGGTTTGCTATTGATCAAAGGTTCAGATGTTTACAACTTGATGTGGAAGATCAATGTGGATTTACTTTTCCCTAGTGAGTGAATCCACTGAGTAGACGGGCCTTGAGATGGAATCCAAAATTGACAGCAGGAACACTAAAATCAAAACCCACTATGGTCTTTAGGTAGGTAGGTTTATTTTCACAATATAACAAGTTAGAGTGAAATAGAGTTTTGTAACTCCCTTCTGCTACATAGCAGACAATATATATTAATAAAGAATCAATTATGAAAAATGGTAAACAGAAATAAACTCATCACTGGAGCAGTGCTGAGGATGAATTAGAGTTTAAGAGTCTGATAGCTTTAGCTTTGGATAATGATGAAAGAATGAGATTGTGGATACAAGCGACTTAAAACCCGTAAAGTTGAATCTAATCAAATCAAATCTCACAAACCAAAGTACAAGTAGTGAGGCAACAAAATGCAGATGCAGTTGAAAGCTCTGGCTAGAAAGCTAGTAAGTGTACTTTGAGTTAAGATTTAAGCGGACTTTCATGGTCCCTAGAAGATAAATAATCAGATTGAGGTTGCCCTGACTTTTCTCAAGTGCAACCATGATGTCATAATTTCATTGTTTAAATTATGTTCAAAGCTTTTGTTACTGCAGATGTATCCCCAAAAAAAACCATACAATTCTATATTTCCATGAAACCTGCTGTGGATAATTATGGTCTTCAGAGGACGAATCCCGATGACTTAAAAGCTTTTTGCTCCCACAGTGAATAGTGTTTTGGTTTTCAGCTTTAGGGAGCCCATATCAGCTGAACACTTGAAGAGTTACAGTGTGGGTGGACAGAC